CATTATTTACTTCACTTTTTAGCAAGTAAATTATCCAAATTTCAAGGTTATAATTTTAAGAAAGAAAAATCATCATAAGATTAGTGTCATTTTGAAATCAGAAATTATTATACTTCGTTTGTAGAGATTTTTTGGAAATGGAACAATATGTCATGATGTTGATGAATGCGCATGGGATGACATTGCTCGTGAACAGGTTGTCGTAAATTTTAGCTTTAATGGAGAGAAAAAAGAAAAAATAAAAAGAGTGAGAAAGAAGGAATGCAAAGTTTGCTTGGTCAGAAAATGAATTTAATCTACGATTTCCAATTCTTATCTTATTTGCTCAGGTATCAGATTGTTAATACCGCAACAAAATGTTCAATATTGAAAAAAAAGGAAAAAATCAGGAAGTATTAAACTGTAGATCTTTAGCCTAGTAGTTGTCTTTTTGGGACGATGTGTATAAATTTGCCAGGCTCATTCAAGTACGAATGTTTGCCAGGATACCAAAAACTTGATGATCGAAGTTGTATGGATGTAATACGTGTTTAATCTGTAGTAATCATCCAACAATTCACTTCAGTCCATTCAAATTTTTGTATTATTCGGTAATAGGGTTTTTTGTTGTTAGTTAACGTTAAAATTTTGCATACTGTTTATAAGAACTTAATAAATAACTATTTCAGATATTTAATTCACACGCGACATAATTTTCAGTTTGTATTTTTTGCCATAATAAAGACTGTGAGCAATTTTTACTTTTCTTCAAGCATAGTTTTAATATAAAATGTCTTTTGGTAATGAATTGATTACAAAGTTTCAACCGTACTTCGATTTTTGGAAACATCAAAAGTCAATCATTGTATAATATGGCTTTACTTTGTCTGTGGTTAGGCTTATCGACCATTCCATTTTTTCAAATTGTTAGTAAACTTTTTTCTTCAAATGATGTGTTATCTCCATAAAAACATTTTTTTAGCAGGAAAAATTATATGTATCAAGCAAAATACATCATTATTAGATTCATTTAACAATGACATTTTAAAATAATGATGACATTTGAAAATTCGATATTTACATTAAAAAAAATTATTTCCATGTATTGCAATGTTTGAATTTTGTACATAATTCATCTATTCTCGAGAATACAGTGCATTGATTTCTTTTCCATCAGAAACTCATTTTTTGTAATTTCAATACACTTTTCATTGTTTTATTACAATAGAACACATATCGATCCACCGGCTATTTCGAATAAGGCTTTTGGGATCTTATTATGTGTATCCAATCTGAGAAATTAATAATGAAGAAAAAGAAAGCAAATATTATGGATCGAAATAACTAAATAGGAATAATGTACGATGTTTTGAACCAAAGTTCTAAAATTTTTAAATAAAAATTAAGATTTACGAGTTAGTAAAACATTATTTTTCATCTAATAAGGGATGTTATCGTGGTTGGATGGAAAATGAAATGAGGAAGATAAAGGTTGGCATTGGAACTCTCAGATCAGCTATACATTTGTCAATAATATTCGCTTCAAATGGAGGATGCATTGCGTGAAAAATGAATGCTCATTCGTTTACTTATGTACAATTAATCCACACCCTATGCCATATATCTGTCCAGCGATGACCCGATTTCGAGTTGTTGTGTCCGAAATTTCGCTTTCAAACTCATTTCCATTACCATTTCTTTGCTATCTATCTCCCTCATTTTCGCTTATAAGCATTTTTATACCGGAAAATATTTATTCTTTTTTTTGCTTCATCGTATTTTTCATTTATAGTTTGCAAGCTAATTAATTTAGTGATTTCAAAGGCATAAATGACCATTGTCAATTGAATATATTTTGTTGTACTAAACAACACGCTCATAACATCATTTTGGCTCATTTCTTTCTAAATTTTAATATTATTTTCGGAGTTTTTACTTATCAATCTATAAAAAAGAAATAGCACTTAGTGATATGATAAACTGCATAGTTAATTTCTCCAAAGATGAAATAGTTTGATTTTTCTAGGGTTAAAAATTTCTTTTTGCTCGTAATTGTGTTTTTTTTATCAGTAGCCATGAATTATCCGTTATACTTAGAAACAGAAAAGTTTTTTTAAAAAGAAAAAAAACAGTTTTTTGAATACATTCAACTGATATTGTTAAGAAGATAACTGTATCATTCCAGCAAGAATTTGCTTGAAATTTCATTCTCCCTTGCGAAGTGAAATGTATGGTTATTTACTACAATTTTATTTGTAAATGATAGTTATGAATGTAATTTTTTTCTGTCAAAAGGGAAAGATGTCAACATTGGGAGAGAGAGAGAAAGAGGGAGAAGCCTTTGTTTGGAACCTGTTTATTTTTGCATATTATATTAATTTTGTACGATATAGAGCATTTCGTCAAGGGAAAATGAATGCATAAAAGCATTTCTATTTTGTGGTCATCAGTTTTATGATTTTGAGAGATGATCTCTTCTAAAAATCTCTTTCCCACAGAAATGTTAATTTTACAATTAGTACAATAAATTTTTATAAAAATTTCTCTTATCAAAATTTCACTCTAATTTAATATCTGCTTGTTTATTCTATAGAATAGGAGTAATTTCGACGAATACCTGTTTAAGAAACAAGAGAGGTGAAAAAAATGCGCTATTAAATTCATCTTCGAATAAACTTCCTTAAAATGCCTAACAAAACTGTTTAACTTATACAATTTAGAACAGATTACTCGTGATTTTACTATACTACGCAATAATTATTTTCCGTATTTTGCAAGAAAAGAATTTTATATCATTTTTTCCATTTCAATTTTTGGAATATTGAAGTTCTGTTTTTTTCCAAACATACAATACCTGGAATAAATCATGAAGACATTAGTAAGTGGATTTTAGTTGTATCTCTATTTGATTTATTGGTACCTCCATTGGTATAAGTATATCATATTCCGATCATTACAACCATTTTGTAAGCTGTGCAACATGCTTCGGATCAAGGTTTCAATCTTAAATTAAGTAATCAGTTATGTGATCAGATTTTTATTTAACGTGAATCGATTACAATCAAATTGATCCATTTATTTTTTTGAAATAAAATTAAATCCTGAAGGGAGAAAATTTTGAAATAATTTGTCATTTTTGTTATCTAAGAATTTGCAAATACAAAATCTAAAATCATATGAAATCAGGAAAAAAAAGTTAACATTGGGTAGCAATGATGAATGATGGTCAATGTTTAATTAGATTTCAATTATCACCAATGTAATGGATATCAGTGAACGAAAAATAGATATGTGAGAAAGATGAATAAGCATTTTTATATTTTTGTGCATCTTTTACTGAATTAATCACTTCCGCATCATCGTTTTACCTAATGTAAGGATGTTCTCTCCCTTTTCTCCTTTTGTAATCGACCCATTTTCATACGCCATCATCAATTCACGTTGCCATAATGCAGTCATCTTTATAGTATCCCCCTCCCTCTCCCCCTCCCCCGCCCCCTCCCCTTCCTTCTCTCCACCTCCACATCTTCAAAACTCCTCTAACCAATTCACCAATGTTCTATTTGAAATTTGCGTTCTTTTTTTTTTTTAACCTTATCCATCATCTCATTCTTTATGATTATTGCAGAAATTTTACCGCAACAGTTTTGTTTTAGCAATGGTTTAAACTTCCAAATTTTACACCGAATCATTTTAAGAACTTAATGAACGGAAAATATGTTCTACTTACGTGTAATTTAATCTTGATGGAATTTGCAGAACAATGAATAAATCACTATTATTCAGTTATTAAGAGTCCATTGATTCTATTTTGGTATAACTTATGTGATGATTAAAGATCATTTGTAAATCTTTCAGAAATCATCAAAGAGTTCAATTAAGTCCATTTCTCGGTTAAGCTGTTAGTTTGAATTACGTGGAATTAATGAACTCATTCATAATGGTGTCTTTTTCGGTTTACTAAAATTTCTTGCAGAAATACCATTTTATTCGTTGAAATTCTATTATTGCTATCTTAATTATAGTATGGTATTCCAGTTAAGTTTTGTAACAAATTTAACTTAATATAAGAAGTTAAACTTTAGTTTCAATATTTAACAATTCATACAATTGAATTAATTCAGTTCACAGATTTATAGCTGACACATTCGATGATCAGTGATGAAAATGAAAGTCTTTATGTACAATTTTTGCTGGGAATGTGCACAGTCCAACAGACCATATAAATGATCTCCATCGATTAAAATGTCATCATTTGAAATTAATCATTTCTGAAAGATATGAACTATGATTATTATGGCCTATATGATGCAAACTATTTCAGATTTATTTATTTATAAAATTTAAAGTAAAATATTCAAAATTTATAAAATTCTGGTTATTATGAAAAAAATCGAAAATATTTTTTACTTTTCAGCCTTAAATCATCAATTTTAAAATTTTTATTCATCTTGTCATTGTGAAAGACATAAGTTTCACTGATTGATAATCCACATTACTTTAAAATTTAACTGAAAAATAAAAGAAAAAATTAGACATTTTTTTTGGTTACTTTTTCGAAGTCTTTTTAGCGCTAACTATTAGAGAAATTTTTCATCGTACTTCATGAAACTTCTTTAGATTTAAAACCTTTTACCTTTCTTCTAATAAAGGGTAATGATGAATAGGATATAGTTCTGTGAATAAGATATAATTTCTATTTTTTTTTTCTTTCTTATAATTTTAATATATACAGCTTTCTGATAGTTCCCAATTAGTATTTGATGAATAATAAAATTTGTACTTGGATTGATTTACAAGAATTTTATATATTTTTAAGATTTAATCTTATTAAGAACTTTATTATTCATAGATCAGTTCATATCGTCATTAACTGAAAAGTGACATAAGGCTCAATACTCCGATGATGCATTGTCTCTTATCAAACGAGAATCACTATTGCTGATAGTAATGAAATTTGCACCTATCAGAAAAAAAATCAGACATCCGAAAATATTTAGTCCTGAAGATATCATTTACAGATGCGAATAACATCAATAGAACCCCAGCTTCGTCGATTTTTTCAATGGTATGGTGAGTTCGGTTACCAATGGCGATGGTTTCTAGTCATGACTCCACTGATCATAACACCACTCTTATCACTTGGTTTTTGCCGGCTTACTCCCTTAACTGTTGATGATCCTTTTTATGTTTTCACTCCGGTATTTGCCAGGTAAAAATGTTGAAAATCTTTCATATTCCTCCATTGTTATTTTTAATTCATTCTTCGCGATATACTAAATTCGATCTACTGCACAGCCTTCTATCCTTTTGAGCTGATGAGATTGATGTATGAAACATAATAAGCATTATGTTTCCGTTTCACTTCTGGCAAATGAAATTAAGGGCATTCTGGAATTGGCCAGAACAAATGATTGAGTCTCTGTTGTGTTTGGCTGGAAGGAGTTATCTTTCGCTATCGTGCAAGATTCGGTGTTATCAGCTGAGTTCGAGATATTTGTAACGAGATAGATAGAGTGAAACCAAACTTTAATCCGCCAAATGTCCTCATCTGTTTTACTTTGATGCAATCCTACTCATGACAGCAGGAAATTCTAAACTGATAGTATAAATACCGAGAAATGGTCTATTTCAAAAAAAAGAAAGGAATTTATCAGTTACAGATGGCATCGAGAATTTGACACATTCGCATCGTTATGGCCACTGAACGAAAATAAATTCTTGCCGGGTAAATCGTTCGAAGTGAAACGATTTATAAATATATTGATAAAAGCTAAAGATGGTGATAATTTGTTGAGGAGACAAATATTAGATGAAATACAAGGATTGAACCAATGGATTATGTTCAATATTACGGTACCAACCGCTGATGGCAAATATAATCTCACATATCAGGTTAGTATGTATATTCTTTGCTGTGATAAAAGCAATGATAACGATTAAATTTACACTGTTGCATATACAAGAATTGAAACTCATTAGTACTCATTACGTCTTCTAAATCAGTATCGCATAAACTAATCAAACTAACTAATCAATCGAGGACCATTGGCTAATCAGTCAGTCATATTCAATGCATTCAGGATTTATGTCTTAGTTATGAATGGGTATGTGGAGCAAATGAACATATTTCAATGTTACAAGAACGGCTGAGAATTGGCAATTTTATGGAATTAACATATCCTCGAGCTGGCAGCAAGGTAAACTTATCATAAGAATTTTAGTTTTGAGCGAAACGTTTGTGCTTTTTTTAAGCACAGTTAAACATATTATCACAATTTGTCAAAGGAATGAAGTTTTGATAATGAAAGAACGATGAGTTATATTAAATTCAAATTAGTTTTAGTTAAATTTATTTTAAAAAAGATTTTTGAAAATTTTAATTTTTGATGAATAATAAAATCAAATTTCCGGATACACCCATTTATCTGGGGACAGTGTTAAGCGACGTAACTCTAAACGAATTGAACGGTACTATAAAAGCAGCAAAATTAACGCAACTTTTTTACTTCCTGAAACAAGAAGCACATATTGTTCGCCGTTACTCGACAGCATTCTCATATGCTGTTGAATATTACTTATTGCATGTTTATAGAAGTGATATTATCTCACTTTCATTCTCACATTATCATTCATTACAGGTGAATTAATCGATCATTGATTTACATGAAAGGAATTTTTAAATTAATCAAATAAAAAAATCAAACGATTGTTTGAAGTTTGAATTAAAATTTTCTTTTGTAGGATGGTTTAGCTGAGAATGCAAAAGATTTCACTTGGAATTTCCTTACCAGCTTTTCGTTACTTTCAATTTATGCCACCATATTTTCATACGTGCTTAAGAAACAACCAAGAGTAAGCATCGACTGGATTCGCAGCAAGCCGTATATTGCATGTGCAGGTACTATCAGATTTATTGGTTATCTTTGAAGGCAAGCCTTCCAATAATACATTTAGAAAGCAAATATTTATAAAATTGTATTTTGTCAATTTCATCGTAAAATCTCCATTTGATTGAAATTTAGTTTGAAAGTTTACAAATGTGCTTTAGGTCTTATCACAACATTGCTAGCGATATGTAGTGGTTTTGGTCTTGCGTTGATATTGGGCATACCATATAATGTGATCAATACAATTATACCATTCCTCATTATCGGTTAGCCATTTGGTGCAAATTCATTTTTCATTACCAATGAAAAAAAATGAGGTAAATTGAATTATTCCCAGAGTTTTCAATCGTCAGTTTATAAACGAAATTCATAAGTTTTAATCTTATAACAAAAATTATAATTTTATGTTGGATTTAAAAATTCTGTCTGTCAATATGATAACGCTCAAGTAGTACAATATCGAGCATTAATCTTCAAAGAAAGATTATACGTGTCATCTGTTTAAAAATTTTTAAAAAATCTTTGATTAGGCTATTTAAAATTTATTATAGCAGTTGGAGTGGATGATATGTTTGTAATGAATGCTTGTTGGAATCAAACGAGTCAAACAGATACTGTATCGAAAAGGTTGAACTACTTTTACATTTTCATATTCATTCAAATACTCTTCGCTCGCACGCAAGAATCTTACAACATTTGAGAAGTAGCATAGCGTGAGACTTGTCCAGTATATCAACTCATTTTCTTGGCTACTTCATGCAATTATAGAAGATCGTAGTTGATTGATTAAGCTAAAATAATAATGTGGTGTGTCAGTGATCATTACAGAATGTATCAAGTGTATTATCATTATTATCATTACTGCATTAAATGACCATGTAGTTTATGATGATGATAGTGGCAATTGTTTCTTGGTATTTTCAATGAATTAAAATTGAAATACAAAAAAGCAGAGAAATAAAGATTTTAATTTTAGAATGCGTGATATGATGGGTCATGCTGGGGTTACTATATCGATCACAAATATCACCGATATATTATCATTTGCTGTTGGTTGTGTTAGCGAACTACCGGGCATTCAGCTCTTTTGTAGCTATGCGTGTATTACATTCATCTTTTGTTATTTGTACCAAGTTAGTGATTTGTTCAAGCCAATTCAATTTAAATTAATTCTATTTTTTTTTGAAAAAAATTTTTATTTAACAAATTTTATATTTTCTAGTGAACATTTTGTTAGTAAATTAAAATTTAAAATTTAGTTCACATTTTTTATGGCATTTCTTGCCATAATGGGTGCTGTGGAAAAGAATCGACGTCATTGTTTGCTTTTCTATAAAATTAGCGAACAATATGCAAAAAAAGAAATTATTAACAGTGCTCAATTTTGTAATTCAAGGAATGAATACAAAGATAGTTTGCGATGTTCGTCAACTGACAGGTATTATTTTTCTAATTCAGATTATTCTTAGCTTCCATGATTACAAATGAAATCTTTTTTGAATTTATTTCAGTGGATCTGATATGTCATATCGTTCTGGTATCAGCATTCAGTCAGATAGTAGTTCTTTGAAAACTTCTATTAAAAATTTTAATTTGATCATTGTTGCTGATGATCTATGTAAGCAAAAACCAACAGAAATAGTCGATATTGATAACAATTTTATCACTAAAGGTTACATTTCTTTGCTTATTACCACACTTTAGTAGTACAATTTTTCTTAGATAATAAATACTCCATGTTATATTATGAATGATTTGAAATGATAGTTGATATGCAGTGCAAATCACTAGTTTGTAAAATGATCCATATCACCCTAATTTAAAATCTCACTTCAAGTACGCTTTATAATTAGCTTTCAATCTTCGGTGTAAATTTGATCCAAAATTTCCTTAAATTACATTTTCTAAATATCTAAATAGAAATTATTGATGTAGCTTTCAGGATTGTGTATGACAGCATTACCGCATTTGAAAACTCAACCGACTGGAAAGAAAGAAAATACGTGTACACAATATTTCTTTGGTCATATTTACGCTCCGTTTATATTACGTAAAGAATGTGCTATTTTAACTTACATCTTCTACTGTATATATATTGCCGTTGCTGTGATTGGATGTTTAAATTATTCGGTAATATTTTCAAGTTTTCTGAAAATTTACCCAAAATATTTATTATTGATATAGTAAATAATATTCAAAAAGAATAATTTAAATAACTGCTAAATAACTTTTGAAATTACAGGAAGGATTGGAACCAGAAAATTTGGTCACAAATGATCATTATAGTTCTCACTATTTCGCAGATTTGAAAAATTTCTGGATACGAGGTGCTCAACTTCATGTCGCCGTGTTACATCCTCCAAATTTTACTGATCCTATTCAGAGGTATTTTTAAAATTACAATTGAAACATCGCAACTAACTGTTGCCCTACAAATGTTAACATTTGTGCTAAAATATTTTAAGCAATTTATTTTTGATTTCAATCAGTGATTTCTACGTGTAGCATATTTTCCGGAAATCATTCAATGACGTTTTATAAATGCCAATATTTTTTCTTAATTTTTCATTATTTTTTACTCGTAGAAATTAATTATAATAATTGAATTGCTGGAGAATATTATTAAAATAATTTCTTCTTTTAATTTTTCGAATATGATTTACGATTAAAAAAAATTCTTTAAATAATGAGAAAAAATAAAACTAATAAAAATTTTCTAGAGAAAAAATGATGGCTGTAGTACGGGCATTTGAGAATACGGAATATACGTTGGGCAGAGATGGAACAATTTTTTTCTTTCTCGAATATTTAAATTATCTCGATGAAGTGAACGCTGAACTGGAAAATACGGAACGGTTGGTTGGTTGGACAGCTTTCAATTATGCTAGCCTGTGCAGTATAGATGGATTCAAAAATTTCAACATACTCAACTAGCTAATTTATTTTCTGAAATTAGAGTTTTAAAATTTCGGACGTGAAGAAGGAAAAAAATCTAGCATTGTCTTCCTTAATATAAGCTATGGTTTTCTATGAAATTCGGTTGAGCGTTTCAAAATTTCAAAAACGTTTCAAAACAGGAAATTGAAACATTGACTGCTGTAGTATTAGTTTTTAGGATTTGGAATACAAAATTGCTAAGTTGGCTGAAATATACTGGCGGAAGTAATCAGTGGGCAACAGATATTCGCTTCAACGAGAATGGGACTTTTCAAGCATTTCGATTTCAGGTCTCTTCAAAACTTAAAAAAACCTTTAAAGTTTCTCTTGCTTTCATGAGAAATAATAGAAAAGGCATTCTTGATAATTTTGATCTCAGTTTTATTCCGCAGCTATTATTTCCTGAAATTGGAATATTAAAATTTTGACAGTCTTAACAGTCTTTTCTAGATGTAATGAATTTGTAGATAGCAATGCATAATACTGTGGGCGCAAATCAGCACAAAAATGCTGCTCGGAAATTGCGTGAAATAGCTGATCGGCAACCATTTAAAATTGAAGTATTTCATGAGACATTCCCATTTGCTGATCAATACATCATTATTGTTCCAGTAACAATTCGAAGTATCATTATATCATTAATTTGTATGGCTACTGTTGCTATCATGTTAATACCTAGTTTGATTCCCTGTAAGTTCTTATATCATAAATCAAAAATTATTTTAAATTCAAATTTTCAAAATTTTTAAGCTAAAATTTAACTTTTATTGCTTGCAAAATTATACAAACAGAAATTTTATGTTGATTTAAAAAAAGATGCAATTATTAAAATTCGCATGTTTCATTTGTTGAATTGTATTGAAATAAATAACTTTTAGGTGTTCTAATAATTATTTCTATAATATCAATTAATACGGGTATATTTGGCTATATGACATTTTGGGGTGTTAATTTGGATGCTGTATCAATGATTTCCATCATTATGAGTATTGGTTTCGCTGTTGATTTATCGTCTCATATTACATATGCATTTGTCACGGCAACTGGCTCATCAAAAGAACGTGTCATTCATGCGCTTGGATCACTCGGATGGCCTATTTTTCAGGTTTTTAAATCTTGTTCAATCTTATATTCTAATAAATTAGACGGGTTAAAATCTTAGAATAAACAATACGAGAATATTTATTATGAATGGATATAATTTAATACTAAAAAGCTATATTTTCTTTTGATTATAATTTTAAAGCTTCAAAGCTTCAGGGTGCAGCATCTACAATCACTGGAGTAACAGTACTCTATACGGTCAATGCATACATCATTTTAACATTTTTCAAGACAATTTGGCTTACAATGGTCATTGGATTATTACATGGATTACTGTTTATTCCAGTTACTCTTTGTTTTTTCCCTTTGTCATCTTTCCAACTTAGCAGTAAGTTGTAGCATTGTTAAGTTATTTATTCTGTGACAATTTTTAAAATTTCGATTTGCTGTTGAAATTTGATTCCATTGAAATAACTTGCATTAAGCAAAAAAAAAGAGAAAAAATTTTTGTTGATCGCTTGCTCTTACTGTAAACTTGAATTATTTATACGGGTGTTATAATGCAGTTTTTTGATAACAAATCATTAATAATTTGCAATCATTGATAGTTGGCAATCAGATCTGTAAAATAATTAGTCTAAATAGAAATTTATTACTTGCTTCATTTTAATATATACTTTATTTTGGTCATTTAAAAAAATATATCTATGCACAAGATCAAATAGATATTAATAGAATTGATTACTTCGAGTCATATGAAATTTGAAATTGTACTAGGTTGAGTACTGTTTTGGGACTATGTAAATTGTTGCTATTTTTAATTAATTTTAATTATTTTACAAAAGTTTCATTTATATTTTCAAGCTGTTCCTTACAGTTTGTCTTATAACATGCACGGTAGAAAAAATTGTTTTTTTTTCTAAACAAATTTCACCAAATTATAACAAAAATAATTAGCTTTAATTTTGCTGCTTTTGTTGATTGCAATTATGATTTTTCTTAAATTTTAAACTGTTATTTACAATAATGCTTTTTAATGAAGCGAATTGAAAATATAAAGCATATCACGCATTAACAGCGCAAAATTACAAATTTTACATTTTATTTGATTACCAAAAAACTTAGAAGCCAATTGACCAAACATAATGGACAAACTTAGAGGTGCAAGGAAAAACAAAGACCATCTCTTCATTTCGAATTTCAAATATTGGAACTCAAGAAGCATATCATTCTTCCTCAAAAGCAACTTTTTTTTGTCAATAAAACGAAAAAAAAAAACTAGAATGTCACGGGATTCATGAAATATAGTATAGCCGAAGAAACAAGGATATTCTCATCGTTCTCTTTTATTCTCACTGTATAACAAATTTAACTTCAGACTAATACATGAATCTTATTGAAGGAAATCTGTAAAAGAGATTCTGGAAGAGATTAAATGTATGGTTAAAGATATTTAAAAGACTACAAGAAGTAATGAAAATCATCAAAATCAATAATTACATTTTTTTTCAAAATTTTACTGACAGTCAGTAACAGATTTTTTTTTTGACGGGGGAACATAATTCTTTTGCTCTAAAATTGTTTGTCAGTTCTCAATTCTATCAAGGTATTTTTAATTTTTGATTTATCATCAAATATTACTGCAAAAACTCCGTCAACTGTTGGCACAGGAGCGGTAAATTGGGGTCATAGTATCGCTTTCACTCTTTAAAGATGTAGATAATGATATACTGACTGAGTAATTAATGCCCGTCTCATATCCAAACATAGTTTGCACTAATTATAGTGATTGATACTGCTTTATAATGCATTCATTGTTCATAAATATATTTTGCATTTCCTTTGAAAAAACACAAACAAATAAATGATTTTCTTCTTAAAATAACAATTAATGAAATTAGCGCTTAGAGATTGACGTCAACTATGTTCTCTTCTTTAAGTGTGGCGCCACTTTTTCAACATTCTGTTCTATTTTGCTCGTTTTTTAAATGCAGGTATCTGTTTTAACAAATAATGAACTGTTTAGTGTGTCAAGTAATAAAATTTGAGTTATTTGATTATTGTGATAAATTAATTGCCGCTGATATGATGGTACAATTGACTAATGAGCTATAATAAAGATCACAATTAATTTGTACTTTGTTTTGTATTGTGATAAAATGAAATAATAAAGATCTGATAGAGGAAATTGGAAAATCAATCAATATAAGCTGGAAGAGATGTGTAGCTTGAAATGCTACTGCAATGAATGTTTTTCATCACATCATCAATTTCTGACAATGAATAGCTTTATAAAGTTACAGGTAGATTATTAACCTTATGTAGTATGAATTGATCCAATTAAGAAATTACAAAGCAACATACGTAAGCTAATTACTTACATAAAATGATGCATATCATATAATTCCAAAGGGTAAACAAATAAAATTAATTTATAAAATGCAGCAAACTCAGTTACTGTCAGTATAAATGAAATGATCGACATTATTGATCAAAACTATCCAATGTTTTTTTGTCAAATTTTTTTTCCGTTTAATTTAATCCATTTTTTTTTAAAAAACAAATTGTGCTTTGTCATAAAAAATTTCACATATCTTAATTTAAAATAGAAGAGCTAGCAATTTTATTCAATACGGTCGCCGCTTAGTAGTGTTTATGCGCTCTATCAGGTAGATTGCAACAAATGCAAGAAGTGGCTGGTATCTTAAAGCTTCAACCACGGGAGAATTTACATTGTTAAAATTCTAATGTCATCATTAAAATTCTAAGCCGTTTTTACTGTTTCGGTATTTGAGTATTTCATTTTTTTAAAAGATAATAAAGAACATATTTCGTGCACCATTTATGTTTACATTCACACCTTGTGGATTACTGAACTACTTCGATACCCTCCTTCATGTAATAGTTTAAATAAATGACATACCGTACATCATCGTCAAGTATCTTAACGTGAAAAAAAAATAGAACTGCAATTCAACTTGTCAATATAAAAATGTAATGTTCCTGTGTTAGTGACTGTTGAAGTTTTCACAACTGTATTTGGTGATAAATTAAAAGTGAAATAACGAAATGATGAAAGGTAGTAAACGATTCTAGAGCGCAATATCAGGTTCCCGACAGAGAATTTTTTTTTTTTTGTAAAACTCGTTATTGATGATTGCAATACCTTTGGATGCATGATTAAACAATTAATTATAATTTTTTGATCTTTTTTTAAATATGAATCTGCATAATTTTTCTCTGCAATAGAAAGCTTTCGTAACAACGGTATTGCATTGTACTGGCTTAGAGAACTTGAAGAGCGGCGAAATGTGACCTGATAAGGAAATAAATATTATATGACCGCATGCAACATTAAAAAATAAACTTCTATTAATAAATACTCATTTGCTAGGCTAACCTGGACTAACTACTAGTCTTAATCAGCTTTGAGAATTCGCCATGGTATTCCTCGCATGATATTCATCTATTATTATTAATAAATTCTTACCAAAAGGATTAGGTTGATCCTTTTGGTAAGTTTTATGCTGAACATTTTCAATCATGCTACTTTAATTTGTTTTTGCCTTCAAGCACGTTTCTAGAGTCATTAAAAACTTCGATTTCGAAAACTCTATTAAAAATTTAGATTTTAATCAGAATAGTTAGGGAAATCCTTGTTGCACATATATTTATCACTTTTACATTATTCTTGTAAAATAAAGAACAGAATTTAAAAACTAATTGGTGAAATTGTGTATTTTGTAAAAGAAGTGCAATAATCAGCTGCTTATTCATTTCTTATAATCTTTTAATAAACTTGGCCAGCGTAAATATATTATACTGTTATTTCTTCCTGCATTTTATTGGCAAAACAAGGCATAATTGTTATATATTACATTTCCTGTATAAATGCAAAATTGTAGGTAAAGGATGTTTTTATCTGTTTCTATTTAAAATTGATTACAAGAAACTAATCAGGGGCAAGATTTTTTCCTTTGTATAGAATATAATACAAATTGAAACATTTTGAGAACAATAGATGATATATTTATGAGGAAGACTGCTAGTTTCGATTTGATTTTAATGATGTTTGACATAATTGTTTAAAGAATTTGATAAATGAACGAGATATAAAGTGGGACTAAATTTCATATTGCTATCGGCAACACATTTCAAGTATTTTTCTATGAACAACAATCCCTATAATTATTCAATCATATTGTCATTTTTAGTAATTATTATGAGAAATAATTATACTAAATGTAGGTAGATAAAATATTTATTGAAAAAAGCTGAAGTAATTTATCATTTAGCGTGTTGTTAATGCATTATCTAAAATGCGATTATCATAGCATCAGTCAGCGATTTTCAAACAAAATTAGCCGCTATTGTTGAGGATTTTTTAACAATACAAAACTTCTTATTTAAGCTAATGTGAAATGAAATATATTAGAGCAAGGATGATTTAATCGTAAATTTTGATAGTTAGTGATATAAATGATTTTTGTGTGCTACACCGATTTATGGGTTGCTAAAAAGCGTAATTTTCACATCATGCACATCTCATTCTTCACTCAAAATAATTAATTTTGCATCGTTGATGTAATTCCCATAAGTCACGTGTACCTCTCGAACAATCAATAACAGTAGTAACAATTTATTATAGGAGTGTGTTGATGAAAATTGAAAAATTGGGTGTAGTGGTACAAGTGTTGATTGGGTAACAATTTTTCACATCATGTTTACCATCCAGTTTTACCGAAAGCGTTCCTCATTTAAACTTTCTTACTGATCATTAATTCCCGGTTTTTCTTGTATTCAAATCCTCCTGTATCTTTTTTATGTTGCCAAGATTCTACCAAGTTTTACGCCTATATGACGAGTATTTTACATAAAAAGATTTAAAATATGATTTTTTCCCTTTAGAAAATCGTTACATTTCAATTTTTCTATACTAAATTTATCTTTACGTAAGCATCACAGTATCATTTATCAAGGAGGAATTTGTTGAGGGGTTTATGTAGGCTGATTTTATTGAGTAAGGATGAATAGAATTAATTGCTTATAAACTTTACTAGTTTAAATTTGAATAATGAGCGTAAATGTTTAATTCATGTTTAAAAACACTTCTCATTCATTTCATATTAAGCTAATGAGAGAGTTATCTTTTTTTTAGAGTTATCTTTTACTTTTTTTCTGTCTTCATAAACCTTCTTCCAACACATTTACAAAATGATTACTTTTTCTATCGGAGAAAGTTAACTGATTAAGTTCTTGAAGTAAATATGAAAAATAATGACCACTATTCTGTTAAGAAACAAAGTAAAACAGATCATTGTAGAGATATTAATTTCAAATCACTTCTAAACGCGCAATTTCATAGGCTTGTCAGCTCATCTGAATTTGTTTTCCTTTGAAATTTGTTCAGAAATGATTTTATGAATGGTATTCTACATAACGTTTTTTTTTTTACAGTAAAGAAGCGTTTTTCAATGATATATTAAAACTGAATTTAAATTCAACTTATGTGATTTTCGAAGTTATGAAGTATTATGACAGTTAATGAGTTTTAATTAAAGTTCAAATTAGTGTAAACGATCTATTTGAGATAAGCAAATGCTAAAAGAGTTGATCGCTTTTACGTTTTCATGTTTGTAATGATACATCAAGTAATAGTGAGGGTGAATAATTGAATTTTAAGCTTTATATATTTTGGTATGGCAGAGAGAAAATAGATTTTAAGACTACTCCATTTCTTCCAATTGTTTTTTTTTTAGTTTTTTGGAAACAACACGTCCAAATTTTTTATTGAACTTCATGGCAAATGGATCATCATTTACTTACAATCTCCCCTAGAAAAGTCATTTCAAAAAAATTCACAAATATTAGTCTGGTCAAAAAAAAAAAAAATAGTTTTCAACTGGAAAAAATTTATTTAACGATTTCTTTTCCCATTTGTGAATTTTTTTCTTTTCAAAGATGTTTGCACACACAGCAATAATGCATATTGAAAATGTTCCCTTTCCATGCTTATGCATTCGCATACGTATTTCATCATAGCGCAGAATTGAAATTGGCCACACATTTCCAAAATTGCGGGGCATTATTCGATCATTAATCTTCCAATATTTAAAAATACTAAAGTTGCAGATACTTATGTATTAGCTGATATTAAATAATTTAACCTATGGCAATATAGCCAATTGGATAAATTAAATTAGCTCGTAGACCTAAATTGAGATGGTACTCCAGGAACCTGCCTAATTCATACATTGTCCATCCAAGATTTGAAAGTATACTGGATGAATGGTACTACAGTGTTACTAGCCTCATTGAATAAAGTTCTTGTCTTATCGAAGTTGACTCGGAGTCTCTTCTATTCTTTTATTTGTTGCTATCCATTCATTTTTAATGGAAATTGAATTATCGGAATTAATAAAAGCATAGTGGTTCTGCAAAACTCTCCTTGTGGATATTCCAACAATCAGTTTCTCTACCATCGTTGAAATTCATTCAATAGCAAATTTTAAAATCATACAAACTTGAATAATTCCATTGTATCTTTAAAAGATATCGAAGATTAGACAATAAGGATGTCACTGCTAAAGTCGCATATAGGATATCATCAGTCACAATCGTAAGTTGTTTAATTTTTCTATTTTATATTTTATTTTTCAATTTACTCCATTTTTTTTAATTTGAGTAGACTAAAGTGAATTACAGATTTCTGATTATTTACTTATGAAGAGATTTTAGGACTTCAACACTATCTGTAATATGGAAAATGCGCACTTATTTGACACTTGCATTAACGCCGATAATTTTGTTACCTATTTTATTTTCGTTCCCACAAAGCCAGGTATGAGTTTCCAGTAAATTTCGTGCCTTACCATTTTTTAAATTTTAAAACCAAATAAAGTAAAAAGAGATGAAAATTTCAAATATTCTGTGGTGGATCTCTTAGCGAATGTTGTATTCATCCACTGTTGCGAGCGCAAAATTCTCCTTTCCGCATTCTACAACACCACCTTAAATCATATCATTTTTCACTTCTGGATAAAAATGGGTTATTTAGAAATTATAAAAAGTTAGCAAAATTTCAATACTTGATATGTTCTACAAAGTGCATGCAAAATAAAGGGAGAAGCAATTTCGAAAAGAAAAAAAAAATTCCAACATTTTAAATTTTTGTCCTATCACCAATGCTACAACCTAATATTGTAGGGAATTGACAAAGAACGGTTAATTTTATTATTTGTTACCGTATAACTAATATTATTAATGTGATCAGTAATTGTAGAACGAAGCAAAATGTGGTTATTGCATTGGTATAATGGCTATTTATTGGGTTATGGAAGTATTACCGTTAGCAATAACTGCCTTATTACCGATGGTACTTTATCCGTTATTGGGTTTAATGGCATCAGATGATGTTGCTCAAATGTATCTACCTGTAAGCTTCATTATCATTTCTTTTTGTGAACAAATCAAGCGTAATGAAATTTCATAAAATTTATATACCAAATTAACTTCTTTACTAATTTTATAAATTATATTTGAAGAAATTTTAATCATAAAGTGAAAAAATTAGCATTTATATAATTTGCAGGATATAAGTTTCTTATTTATTGGTGGATTAATGATAGCGGTAGCTGTTCAGAAATGCAAATTGCACAATCGTGTTGCTTTATTCGTGTTAACTGTTGTTCCACCTCAACCATGCTGGTTATTATTTTAAATCACACTCAAAATTCTTTTCTTTAATTCTTATTTTTAATTATAAATTTTGTAAACTTTTTTTTTATTTTAATGTTCGCTCATTCTTTATTCGAAATTATGTTTATGGAATTAAGATGTAGTAGTAAAACTTAACATATTGCATTCCTTCATAAAAACTTTTCTTTGCGAAATTAATAGCTAAGTTTTATTTTCAGGATTATGTTCGGTTTCATGCTAGTAACTGCGTTTTTAAGGTAATTTCTTTTTTTCTAATATTGAAATCCTAACGAAAAGCTAAATAGTTGGTTCTGTGGTTTTCAAAAGAAAAAAAAATACAAATTGCAGTATGTGGATATCGAATACAGCAACTGCTGCTCTTATGGTACCCATTGCTAATTCTGTTATTATCGAGCTTGCCAAAAGTAATTGTAAAAATGAGATCAATGTAAGATTTCGTACTTATAAAATGTAATATTTTTCACATTTATAAATCAGTGATATATCTGGCACATTCTGATAGTAATTTTCAAATTAATTTTTTATTTATTTGAAGTATTTCTTCACTAAGAAGTAACTAAAGATAATTAGTTTATTATTAATAAACTGTTTTCAGTGTAATAATTTGGAAATATTTACCTCATAAAATTAATTTCTCCAGGATAGTCTAGTGAGTGAAGCAGTGATTGAAGACAGACATAATGAAAACAGTGACGGACGAAGAAAATCTCTCGGTACTTTTAGTACGAGGTTCAATTTTGGTTTACTTTGCATTTTCCAACTGCATAATGCATGCATGCATGGAGAAATATACATATGTATATATATTATCTATTAGGATAAAAAAGTTCAATTAATAACGAGCAACACTGCCATTCTATGAATTGAAAATTTTTTGATAATAATTTGTTTTTAAATCAGCATTGTGATAATTAAATAATTAAAAATCTTAATATAGTAATATTTACTTTCCAGAGATCCAACAGATGTTTTAAGTAAAGATGAATATCATATGGCAAAAGGATTGCTGATATCAATTGCTTTTGCTGCAAATATTGGTGGAGCAGGAACAATTACAGGAACACCGTCAAATCTCGTCCTAATGGGCCAGATTAAAGAGTTTGTTACTGTTTTCACAATTGCTTCTTTCCGATTTTGTCAATCTTAAAGCTCTTAAAAAAAAATTTCGTCAATCTGCTATATTTTAATGAAAAGTCAGCATTCTGACTGTATTTTTTTGTACTATAATAGAATTCTTGAGTTGAAATCAATGAATTAAAACTTATTTTATCTTTCCAATTGCTATCAAATACTGTTTTAGAATTTTCCCTCTCGCAAATACAGACATTAATTTTATATCCTGGATGGTTTTTGCGGTACCATTTGTTACTGCATGCTTATTCACAACATGGTTAACATTGATACTCATTTTCTTCCGGAAACCTTCAAAAGGTTCTATTTTTTTATTGGCTCTTTTTTCCATATCGCTATGATTTTCTGCTAGTAAGCAATTGAAGTAAATATATGAAAGAAATAAAATCTTAAAGATGTGATAAATGCAGGTCACAGGACGATGAAAGATAAACTGCGACAAAAATACGATGAACTACCGAGTTTGTCATTTGCAGAAGTCGGTGTATCGATTTGCTTCTTGATATTGCTAACACTTTGGATAACGAGAGATCCACATGTTATTCCTGGTTTTGGAACTATGTTCAAGAAAGGGCATGCATCCATTTTACATATTACCAAAGATTGAAAAGCTTTAGATGAATTTCATTTTGTATGATATCCCATCTGAAATATCTACTTTTAATTTTCTTAAAATTTTTTAGAACATTTTTTTATAATTAAAAGAAAATATTCAGGTATGTAACAGATGCAACAAGTGCGATGTTAATTGCAATTATATTGTTTGCCATCCCAAATCAAAAACCAAATTTTTTTGGTAATAATTTCTGAAACTATTTCTGTTATACTTGAACAGAGAAAAACATAAAATGCAATAGGAATTTGAAGTAAAATAGCAATTCAGGAAGATCAGAGAATGTCGGAACATTACTGGATTGGAAAACAATGCAAGAGAAATTTCCATGGAGTGTTATGTTGTTACTTGGAGGTGGTTTTGCAATGGCTGCTGGTGTCAAGGTACTAAATGCAGGGGTCAAGTTTCTTTGTTCAATTAATAGAACATAAAGTTCATCATAGGTGTAGAATGTTCACTTTCGAGCAACTGCTGGGAAATCCTCATATTCCTCTACCATAGAATAAATATTTCTATACATATAATGCAAATAGTTATCACATATCTTCGGATGTCTCAGGTGTTTTTCGACAGAAGAATATTCGGAAGAAATTTATTTGATGAACATTTAAACTAAATTATACTATAAGAGTCAAAATTTCTGCATCTTCAACGTTCACATTAGTAACTTTATGTTTTTTGATTAAAAAAAAATGTGACGTACTTCTTATCAATGATTCTATTTCTCATTTTTCTCAATTTACTGCTTTCATATGCTCTATTCCAGCTCATTCTTACAATGATAAAAAAATAAATCAGCAAATTTTCCTAGGAAGCATTGAATATATACTTAATTTCAGACAGTTTGAAATTTAGTCAGGAATATCTTATAGGATTCTTTTTCTACACAAATGAAATCAATAATGACTTTAAGAGGTTGTCCTACATGTATCCACTGGTACAAGAAATAAATGAAAGCAAAAATTTATTCAACTTTTCTGGAAAGTTTACGAAGCTTCATATCTGATAGCTACAAATACAAAAATGCCAGAGTAGTGAAAATTTCATTTTTCTGTGATTCGAGAATATATTATTTTGATATTATAAGTATAACAATTGTAAAGTTGTATTTTGTTCCCCCGTAAGGGAGCCTATTCTGTATGACAGGTAAAATAATTAGTGATTGTTTTTACGACAGTAACAGATTTCATACATTTTTTTTGGAAAACAAAGAATAGAATGATGAAGATTGGTTAGAAATTTAGCACTTAAATTTATGATCATTGTTTGCTTTTTTTTAAAGAAAGATAGAAATTTCAAATATAAAATCATTTTCGATCTTAGTTTAATTTTAATAGACATAATAATTTGGATATTTAAAGTTTATAATCTAGCTTACAGGACGTGTGAAGAAATGGAA